TTTAAGTGATCATGCAAGTGCTTTTTCGGAAGTATACACTTTTAAATAAACTGCTTTTAATTAACTAACCATATGGTGCTTTAGTGTTTGCAGTAATTTGTATTTGTATATATTTCAAATAGTTATCTAATTATCTAGACCAAAACTTGAATTCTTTGGGAGTGGTTGCAAGAAAAACGTTATTGTCACAATGGCAAAATACAGAAACAAGAGGCAAGAAAATAAGTTTACGTTATGATTACCTTCTGGTCTGCTAAGCACATATCTTCATTAGGTTTCTTTAGCTCCTTTGCCATTTCTAATTCCAATCTTCGCTGTTCCAGTTTACGTTCTTTATTTAATCTTTTTTCATCACGTTTCTCTTGTTTTAACCGCTCGCTCTTTTTCCTTACATAGAATTAAAAGGGCAGACAATAAAACCCACGTATTATACTTAGAACAATCTAAGAATCTGAAAAGCACTACTTACTTAAACTTAGTAATTACCATAGCAATTAAGGAACCTGCATTCAAGTAAAGGGAAGGGGGAAACTACAGAAATAGAACAAAATAATCAGATTTGTGAATGAGCTGGAAGGGACCCATAAGGGTCATCGAGTCCAACTCCCTGCTCCTCACAAGACTACCTAATGCTAAACCATATGACTGACAGCGTCATCCGGATGCTCCTTGAACTCTGACAGGCTTGGTGCCAAGACCACTGCCCTAGGGATCCTGTTCCAGTGACCAACCACCCTCTCAGTGAAGAATGTTTTCCTAATGTCCAACCAATGGTGCAGCTTCATTCCATTTCCCCATGTCCTATCCCTGGTCACCAGAGAGGGGAGACCAGCACCTCTCCCTCTGCTGCCCCTTCTTGAGGAAGATGTAGACTGTGACGAGGACACCCCTCAGCCTTCTCTTCTCCATGCTGAACAAACCAAGTGACCTCAGCTGCTCCTCGTAAGTCTTGACCTTGAGACCCTTCACCACCTTGGTCACCCTCCTCTGGAGACACTCTAATAATTAGTTTGATGTCCTTCTTATATTGAGGACCCCAAAACTGCACACAGTACTGGAGGTGAAGCCACACCAGTGCAGCGTAGAGTGGGACAATCACCCCCCTCAACTGGCTAGCGATGCTGTGCGTGATGCAATCCAGGACATGGTTGGTGCTCTTAGCTGCCAGGACACACTGCTGACTCATATTCAACTTGCCATCAACCCAAACCCCAAGCTCTCTTTCCATGGGGCTGCTCTCCAGTCTCTCATAGCCCAACGTGTATGTATAACCACGTATGTTAAATTTCATACGGCTGGTGATTGCCCACCTCTCTAGTCTGTCCAGATCTCTCTGTAAGGCCTCTCTACCCTTGAGGAAGTCCACAGCTCCTCCTAGTTTAGTATTGTTGGCAAACTTACTTCATGTACATTCAACTCCTGCATCCAGATCATTTATAAAAACATTAAAGAGCCCTGGCCCTAAAATTGAGCCCTAGGGAACCCCACTGCTGACTGGCCGCCAGTCTGATGTAACTTCAGTTACTTTAGCCCTTTGTCAGCCAATTGTTCACCCAACATATTATGCACTTGTCCAGCTGTACGCTGGGCATGTTGTCCAGAAAGATACTGTGAGAGACAGTATCAAAAGCTTTGCCAAAATCAAAAGTGATGCAATCCAGGACATGGTTGGTGCTCTTAGCTGCCAGGACACACTGCTGACTCATATTCAACTTGCCATCAACCCAAACCCCAAGCTCTCTTTCCATGGGGCTGCTCTCCAGTCTCTCATAGCCCAACGTGTATGTATAACCACGTATGTTAAATTTCATACGGCTGGTGATTGCCCACCTCTCTAGTCTGTCCAGATCTCTCTGTAAGGACTCTCTACCCTTGAGGAAGTCCACAGCTCCTCCTAGTTTAGTATTGTTGGCAAACTTACTTCATGTACATTCAACTCCTGCATCCAGATCATTTATAAAAACATTAAAGAGCCCTGGCCCTAAAATTGAGCCCTAGGGAACCCCACTGCTGACTGGCCGCCAGTCTGATGTAACTTCAGTTACTTTAGCCCTTTGTCAGCCAATTGTTCACCCAACATATTATGCACTTGTCCAGCTGTACGCTGGGCATGTTGTCCAGAAAGATACTGTGAGAGACAGTATCAAAAGCTTTGCCAAAATCAAAAAACCCACATCTACTGGCTTCCCTTGGTCATCCAGATGGGTGACCTTGTCACAAAAGGAAACTAAGCTGGTTAAGCGGGACTTTCACCTCATGAACTCATGCTGGCTATGACCAATGACTGCCTTGTCTCTCAAGTCTTTTCCAAGAACTCCCAGAATAATCACCTCCGTAATTTTGCAGGCACTAAAGTGAGACTTGACGGGCCTGTAACTACCACAGTCTTCCTTCTTTCCCTTTTTGAAAATTGGGACAACATTTGCCAGCTTCCAGTCAACTGGGACCTCTCCACATTCCCAAGACCATTGAAAAATCATGGAGAGAGGTCCTGCAATAACATCAGTCAGCTCTTTAAGTACCCTGGGATGAATCCCATCAGGCTCCACAGCCTTATGTGCATCCAGTTGGAGCAGCAACTCTCCAACATGTTCAGAATTGGCAGGGAGTTTATCATGCCCCCAGTCACGGTCTCCCAACACAGGGCTCCAGGGGTTCCAGGGCCCATCACTGGTGTTAAAGACAAAGGCAAAGAAAGCATTAAATGTCTCTGCTTTTTCTACGTCCCTATTTGTGAGGTGACCAACCTCATCAAGTAATGAACCAATGTTTTCTCCGATCCTTCTTTTGCTGTTAACATTATTTGAAAAACCCTTTTCATTGTCCTTTACAGTACTAGCCAGCTTGAGCTCTAATTGAGGTTTGGCTGCGTGGATTTTCTCCCTACAGTGGCAAACAGCATCCTAGTAGTCCTCCCACTTCGCCTGTCCTTGCTTCCAATGTGTATACACTTTCCTCTTTCGCCTAAGTTCTAGAAGAAAATCCCTACTCAGCCTTCTGCCCTGCTTTCTTCATCTCCCACACTTTGAAATTGCCTGTACCTGTCCTCTTAAAAAGTGACCAGCATTCATGGATCCCAATACCTTCAAAATGCAGACTCCCAGAGGACCTTACTAACTAGCTCTCCCCATTTGCAGGGCTGAAGTTTTGCTGGTGGGTTTTCTCCTATCACCAACAATTTGAAACTCAACTACTTTGTGGTCACCGTGACCAAGACAGCCACCAATCACCACTTCATCCACGAGTTCCTCTCTGTTTACAAACAAGAAATCCAGGAGGGCACCTTTTCTAGTCCGCTTGAGAGTTAATCCTGAAATTCTTCCTTGTACTGAAGTATTGTTCAATTCTGATTTGCTTTGGGATGTCAGTTTCATTTAAATTTACAAACATATCTAAGAGAAAAGTTTTAACAATTTCTTTGACAACTAGATGCTGTAATGATGGTTATTTTACTTCAACCTCTTAGCTATCTGTACTTTATTTATAAAACTCTCAGGATACAGATATAAAAAGTGTTTCAGGATATAGAGAAATATAATAAAAAGTAAAATTAAAAAAGTTAGCAATTATGTTTTCACATTGATAGTCCCCCTTAAGAGAACACCAGCGTTAAAACTGAAGACAGTCTCAGGAACAAGATGTAAATTAGTTTATCATGGTCTAATAAAAGTTTCATCAATCATACTGTACAGCTCTGGTTTCATCATCAATGCTATTCCATCATGTACCTTTTTTTAGATCTTTTGTTTTAAACCATCTATAATGCAACATACTACTGTATTATTTCAAACCAATGAAGCTAAAGAAGTTTTAGTTGTTTTAGCTAGTAACATTTCATTTACTGCAGCATAACCTGAATAAGCAGGATGTGGTATTCCTGTAAGAGAGGCTTTTTCTCCAGCTACCTCAGTCATGAACATAAGCAATGTGGTTACAACTGCTTTTCAAGGCAAAGCTAAAGACTTTTCCCTCATTTCCTTCTGCAATCTTCTAATGAAATTGAGACTGGTTATAAGAACAAGTTCTATTACAAAAACACTATCACATTACCTTAATAGCAGGGAAACTTCAGTGTCTTTCATGGGATAGTATAGCTAAGAGTAAAATTTAACTAGTTACAGGCCTGATTAGTCAACTCAATGAAAATATGTGGATGGATTTTGGGTTAGGTTTTGCCAATATGGACTACCAGTGTTTCTTGAATATTTTTTTCCCCTCTAAGTTAAGTATCTAGAGTTCCTTAACTTGTAAGCAAAGTAATAATTTGAATTATGAAAAACATTTCCATTTTGCAGTACTTTAAAAGGAACAGTTTAATTCAGTTGCCCAATACCTAATTTAATAGCACAGAATGTGTATTTAATCTTTAACATTAATCCTCATAATAAGCAAGTGTTACCAGGTTCTTTTGTGATATACTAGATTTATATAAACGAAAGCAGTCACCAGAATAAGCAGCACTCATCCTAAGGAATGGGCAGCTATTTTGAAAACAGTCTTATTTTCAGAAACAGAACAGAACAAAAAATCTAGATGTTTAGACAACCAGCATCAAAAGAAGCCTGAAATTTTGGAAAGTGAAATCAACCAGTTTTTTGTTATCGGCTTAATATCACTGTGCTCAAAAAAGAAAACAAGTTAAATAACTAGACTCAGAGATGGACAAAGTAAAATGACTATACACAAAATGACACATACACATTTAGGACTTTAGGCTTCTCTATCTCTTGGTTCAGAATTTCTGACATATTTTTAGTAAAACAAAACGACAAATGAAGCATCTATTTTCTGTCATGCAGCAGTACTTTCTACTGAAGGAGAAAAAAGTAAAATTAGTAAGGCATAATAATCCTATTTGCTTGGTTTTGTCATGGTCCAAATCTAGAACCATCTACAAAATCCACAAGTTCTAAGAAGCCTGGACTGGAATAAGATGTGTATTTTTACCGCTGCATAAGTATTGAGGAAAACCTGTTCAGCAAGTCTGACAAGTCAGTATGATGAAGTCCTTACTCTTCTACGCGTGAACAATGTGAAGAAGAAAAAATAAAATTTCCTTTCCAGGAAATACTACAGACTCTGAGGTGACTGTGCAATTATTGCCTTCTTGCTCAGAATCCCTGAGAATGTAAGGGACCTCTTGAGATCATCCAGTCCCCATCTCTCCATGTGTGTCCTGTCCCTGTCGTCGTTGCTCCCTCCAGCAGTATCAGCAACAGTAGGTTGCAACTCCACAACCTACCTGGACTATCTCTAACAGTGTTCAACCATCACCCTCAGAGTTAAAAAGTTTTTCTTAAGTTTAAACAGAATTTCCCGTATTTCAATTTGTGCCTGTTGCTTCTTGTCCTGCCACTGCCATGCATACAAATGAAACTATACATACAGTATATATAGTATATGTACTATACAGTACATCAAAGACACTGCTCTTCTACAGATCGCTGCAGAATGAAAGTATGAAAACTTCAAACTTTCAGAGGTTAATACTCACTTCTGCTTTTTTACGTGCTTCCATGGCTTTCATAAGCATCATATGTTGTCTTCTCCTTTCTCGTTCCTATTGAAGCAGGTAAGATTAGAACAAAACTAACCCTCATTTTCAAATCAGTAAAAAAGCTGAGTAACAAATTTAGCATTAATAGACAAGTCACAGTAAATACTAAATATAGGACAAGAATGGCCAAGTCTGTGCATGTTTTAGTTCAGGTTTAGAAAGCAAATACAAGAACAATCAAAAGCAAAAAGGTAAAGCAATGAACATGGAGACAGTGTAAAAAAGAAGCATACAGATTTACTTATGGTCAGTTGTGATGCTCCTTCATAAGCTGGCAGAACAATAAGCATAATGGTTGGCTGGAACAGGTCAGTTACCTTACATCTGCTATTACAGAACTTGCAAACTACTTCTTCAATAGCCAATTCAGTAGAAATTTTCAACTGGTCATTTCCAAACATTGCAAATATTAACATTTTTTTGTAACCAAGTAACAAAGTAACATGATTAATTTTCTCAGCTCTAGATCAGTTTTAATCAAGCTAGTGGTGGCGCATATACATACGCAACGACACTTGCATTTACTGACTCCTGTCCCTCAATAAATTATGTCAGTAACTTCAACTGCATTAAGGAGTTGTATTCTAGAGCATTAAGTATCAGTTTTTTGCCTCAAAAGCTGTAGAGTAAATCTTGGCCCCAGGAAAGGGTATGGGAATTTCATCATCTAAGTCAGTGAGGCTAGGATTACATTCTAATGTTTCACTGGATACTTATAACATTATGTATTTACCGCCGACTGAAAGCTAATTTCCTCAGTACCCTACAAACTTAGGAAAGACATTATCCTCATTTCTAAAATAGGTTAATTCAAATTGTATTTAAAATGTCTGGATTCATTCCCAGTGAATGGGACAAGGCTTGCAAAACTTATCCAAATGACTACCTACTGATTTTGCATTAAGTAATCCCTGATTTTATACAGTAGTCCAATTTCTACTGGGACATCAGTAACATATTTCTGGTTAAAAACCTCATTTATTTATTCCCATGTTCAATTTACACACATGTTCAAGACGTGTCTTTTTTTTCCTTAACAGACAAGACAAGCAGATGTATGCAATGCACTGTGCTGTAAAGCCATGCAGCAGTATGTAATATGACAGCAGCCAGTGCTACATTTTATGCATTGCTATGACAACCATATCACAACCAAATCACAATGCGGTGTTAGATGTACAAAAATAAACATACCCATACCATATCTAGTCTATGCCTCTCCAACTCCTGGTAGAAAGAGTTGGCACAACATTATGAAACAGAAATCACAAAGTCATAAAACCACTTCATAATTCCCCAAAAGACCCCAATACCAAAGCAAAGCAACCAATCATAAGGTGAGAGAAAATTTGTGCAGGAATCAAACCCAGAAATTTAAAAAGGGCGTATTTTGAAGATTCCACCCCCTCCCCGCACCCCCCAGCTTAAGTAGTAGTTCACAATTGGCATTCTGTCTGTTTGCTCAACTGAACGTATACCAACCTGGTGCTTCAGAAGAACAGCTTGCTGCCTTCGCATCTCTTTTTCCTTAAACAAAAGAACAAAAATGTATTTAAAATATCTATCAAAATTTACTTACCAAGTTGCACATTTTTATCACACTAAAACAGCACATCTGAATTAAATTCTTACTTCCCCGCCCTCCCCAAACTGACCACAGAGAAGCATACACAGTATACACGATAGCAAGTCCGTAGAGTTGGGAGTTCCATGTTAAAATACGCCACAAATGCCAAAGCAGTAACAGGAGTACACAGAGAAACAGCGTTTTCCAACTTCGAAGGAGTTCTGTATTCTTGTAGACATACAGCCCAGAAAAGACCACGCTTGTTGAGAAGCAACAAGGTTTTTTAATACAGTGTGGTTAAAAGAATATTGTGCATAATGTTACTGCACGAGATTCTAAGTTATGCAAAGCAAGCATCATGTAAGTAAAACTCATGGTAACAGCACACGAAAAACTACTGTCTCTCTATATCTTCATGTGTGTATGTATGAATGTATGTATGCGTGTGTATGCAACACAAACTTGTGTGTATGCTTCACGTATTTATATAAATATATGTAAACGTTACTCATATCCCATGTCTACAGTTTCATTATCAATGAATATTCTTCCAAATTTACTGCTTTTATACATCAACATATATTACGCACAACATCACAGTTCTTGTTTTTGGAGCTCCTCTAAACTAACCTTTATTCGTTTTTCGGCCTCCAATAATTTGGCATTTGCTGCTTCTTCCTTCTTTTTCTTTTTTGCCTGTGCATGCAAAACAGGTCACACAACAGCATCACCACAACTTGAAAATAATCTGACTAGAAATGAAGCTACATGCCTTTGAAAGTTCAAAACACCATCACACGTCATTTACATTGCAACAGATTTCTTACCCAGTGCAGTTTTCATAATGAATCAATTCACAATTCATCTACTTTTCAAAAATTAAACCAGAATTTCAAATCCCACTCAAAATTGCTTCACCTGGCTCTTATAACTAAGAAAGTAAGTATACACAGAATCAGCAAGACATAAATGGCAAAGAGATTACCATTAATTTTTCCATGAATGGAGACTTGAAAACTAGCAGTCTATCTTTGCCAGTATACTAGCAAACTAGTATAGTATACCGTATATATAAACTTAGTTCGTTCAATCTACTGCACTTCATACAGAGCACAGCATGATACTGCTTTAACATCCTATTATTGCAAACTTGTTTTCTAACAAAGGAATAGTTACGCTGTTAACTTCAGCAAATACAAGAGTATTTGTGTAGAAAGCTGGGAACTCAAGTGAACATCTGCAAGATTTGGGTCGCAGTTAATACAGATTTTACTTCAGAAAAATATTTTAAGACACGTTTTTGAACTGACCTTGGAAAGTCCAGGTTGTTAGAGCTGTTATATTTAGTTACATTCCTAACTGCATGTGTGACTAATAAAATACAATATTCTTTAATGGCAACACAAAAATTTTATCTGAGCCATTATTTTTACCTCTAAAATTTGCTGAGCTCGAAGTTCTTTCTCCATTCTGATTTGCTGGATTCGCTTAATTTTTTCCTACAAGGGGAAGAAAGATATTTCTTTTTAAAAAAACAATACTGAGAAAGTAAATTTACTTTTACATTTAAAAAGATGACCAAGTTTATATATAATACTTTTTGATATCGACTCTCACACCCATTGTAGTCAACTGTCCCCATATAACAGCATATGTTTAGAATTTTTACTAGCATTAGAAGACATGTTATAAATGTTCCTTATGGTACATCCCTGCAGGAACCAACACTTACTTACGCACAGCTGCTCATACTTAAGTTGTCATAGTTTGGGGCTTTTTTAACAGCTTTAGGGGGACCAGATTAATGACAAAGTAAGTATGCTAGCACCATTCAAATTCTAGTTGGCAATGGTGAAGCTATTCAGGAATGACTGAAAATGGGAGCTATGACATGAAAAATGTGATGTTTTGGTGTGATCTCCCTGAATAAGAAATATAGGCTTCTGTCAAACCACGATTTTCTGCCTTGGTTCTAGCAGCCGTTCCGTTCATTATGGTACCATGGGCAACATGGAGACTCGTGAGTACTGTGACACCCAAAGCACATACTCTGTCAGCCAGTAACAGCCACCCACATGCGACCTGGATAATACATTCATGGTTAAGTACACTTGAGTTTCTCCAGATTTTTAAAGCATTCAAGCAATTGATGATGAGTTTGGATGCCTTAGTATGTAGTATAGGGGACTGAGTTTTACACATGTTGAAGAATGAAGTAACAAAAACAATAAACAAAACAGCAGCCACAGGCAGTACAATACATTTCAGCATGTGCCATCATGGTAAGAAAAAAATTATCAAGCTAAGCACTCCACACATGGATGCTGTGTAAACATATTCTAATTTACTCTTTTTCAGGAATCAGTTCCTAAAATCTGAATAAAGTCTTATTACATTGATTTACAAATGCAGTCATTGCAAACTTTGGGATTAGTTCACATTTCCTGTGCCGCACGGGTTTTGCCTGTTAAATAGTAATAACCAAAGCTCATATTTAAAATTTCATTTGAGGGTCTATTATCGCCAAAAAAAGCTGATTGAACTAGTGACTAGGAAGGGACCATTATGAAGAGAACTGTTGCAATACATTCAGCTAGACCTGCTGTAAAGTTTTAACAGCAAACCCAGACCATGGAAAAGCCCTGGACACTGAGATGCCTAAATCAGAAGCCTGAAATGGAGCTCAACACTCTTCTCTGAACAGCAGATGTTTTCCCAACAGTGAGGGTAAAGCCCCATCTGTATGGAAGACATTGCTTTCTTGTGAGCTGGTCTGAGTCTCTAGAATATGGACTACTCTAAAATTTTACTTTCCAGAGAATACATAGTGATGTATATACTTTATTGAAAAACAACTAAAACCAAAACCAAGCCCATAAGAAAAGATAATCTAAAATATTTAACAGAAAAGGAGCAATCACAGAACAGAAAGACATAAAAAATTTCCTGAAGAATAGAGCTCCAACACAAGAGCATCTCATGAAGTCTTACAAACTTCAGGCAAATCTTACCAGCTCCTTAAACTGTTCACAAGTCCAGCATAAGACTACCTTATCCAGCAAATTAATTCAGCAGCCTTCATAGAATCATTTGGGCTGGAAGGGACCTTTAGAGGTCATCTAGTCCAACCCCCCTGCGGTGAGCACGGACATCTCCAACTAGATAAGGTTGCTCAGAGCCCCATCCAGCCTGACCTCGAATGCCTCCAGCGATGGGGCTTCCACCACCTCTCTGGGCAACCTGTTCCAGTGCTTCACCACCCTCCTTGTAAAAAATTTGTTCCTTATGTCAAGTCTAAATCTACCCTCTTTTAGTTTAAAACCATTACCCCTTGTCCTGTCACAGCAGACCCTGCTAAAAAGTCTGTCCCCATCTCTCATATAGGCCTTGTTTATACAGTGTTGAACTTTTATTTTCAACATGTAAAGCTCACAGCATGGACCTTAAGTCTCTATTAACTCCCATTATAAAACAAAAATATACAAAAGTTGCGAGTATGTACTATACTCTGTCAATTCCACAAAGGCTACAGTTAATACAGAACAAACTTTTCAGCACAGATCAAAGAAATATCTCAGAGAAGAAGAAAAGAAGTATTCTACACATCAGAATCATGAAAATTTTATCAGTTTATCTATCAAGAAGGAATATGATCATGATAAGGTCTGGATTTGATGTATTCGTCAATTAAGCAATTCTTGCTCCACATACACCTGAGAATGTAAGGACCACTTAATAAAAGTCTGTGTTAATTGCCTTTCTTTAACAAGTATGGGTTGCCTTGAGAAGTGGAAACTTCGAAGCTCTCACTATCTATAGAAGTTCATAATGGTTGAGGTTGGAAGGGACCTCTGGAGGTCACCTTGTCCAAACCCCCCTGACTCCAGAAGGGTCACCTAGAGCCAGTTACCCAGGACCGTGTCCAGACAGCTGTTGAAGATCTCAAAGGCAGGAGACTCCACAACCTCCCTGGGCCACCTGTTCCAGTTCTCAGTCACCATCATGGTGACAAAGTGTTCCCCGATGTTCAGAGGGAACCTCCCGTGTTTCAGTTTGTGCCTGTTGCCCCTTCACCTGTCGCTGGGCACCCCTGAAAAGAGCCATGCTTCATCCTTTTTGCACCCTACCCCCAGCTGTTTGTACACCTTGGTGAGGTCCCCCTGAGCCGCCTTTTCTCCAGGCTCAACCGTCCCAGCTCTCTCAGTCTTTCCTAGTTTAAGTCATAGATGGTAGAGTGACAACTTCTAACCTACTGTCTACTATATTGAGCACTTGCTTCACTGAAAAACCTAAACAGTTACCAACAGGGGACTATTTGTTAGGTATTCTTGGGATATTTAAGGTAGTCTGCAGTACCACCAATTTTGGTTAACTACTTTAAAAAAAAAAAAAGTATGTTAGATTTTAGTATCTGGATTTCAAATGTGAAAGGCCTTTATATATTCATTGGCTTTTTTAACACCTCAGGGTGCCGCTTACAGGCAAAATAATGAGACATCTCGTTTTCTAGTACTATTTCTAAGTGGTGAGATGATGAGATCATACAAAGACCTTGAGCTGCTGGAGCGATTCCAGAGAAGGGCAACAAAGCTGGTGAAGGGTCTGGAGCACAAGTCTGATGGGGAGCGGCTGAGGGAGCTGAGGGTGTTTGGTCTGGAGAAGGGGAGGCTGAGGGGAGACCTGATCGCTCTCTACAACGATCTGAAAGGAGGGGGTAGCCAGGTGGGGGTCGGTCTCTTCTCCCAAGTAACAGGTGACTGGCTGAGAGGAAATGGCCTCAAGTTGCACCAGGGGAGGCTTAGATTGGATATTAGGAAAAGTTTCTTCACCAAAAGGGATGTCAAGCACTGTAAGAGGCTGCCCAGGGAAGTGGTGGAGCCCCCATCCCTGGAGGCATTTAAAAGATGTGTAAATGTGGTTTAGTCGTGGACTTGGCAGTGTTAGGTTAACAGTTGGACTTGGATGATCTTAAAAGGTCCTTTCCAATCTAAACAATTCTATGATTCTATTACTTCACCCTAATTAATTGTTGTCTGAAATTAAAAAAAAAAACAAACACAAAATAAATCAAATACATAAATGTTTTGGTTTGCTGATTTCTGAATCTGAATGTTAGATATGAAGCTTCTATAGAGATCTAAATGCAGCTTAGCTGTAAAATAAAATTACTCAACAAAACCTAACACAACAGGTTGAAAAGGTGTAACTAGAGCTCAAAAGACATTGCAACTAAATCACCTTTAGAAAAAATACAACTGAACTACAATATAAATGGAAACCAGCCTTGAGACTACAGTGAAGACACTGCACCACTGAAGAAACATTTTCCCTGCAAAAGACTTCAGATTTATCCTGTACGAAAGGCATGAGGAATTTTAAATCAGGAAGTTAATTAAACAAATTAGGAAGCTGATGCACTGAATGCAGTGGAAGTCAAACCTGAAATCCTCTCCTCCCATGTCCAATTTCAAAATTTTACTTAGAGTTGAAAATACACATTACATGACAAAGTAACATATCATGAAAAGCAAATAGAATTTATAGAATTTCATGGAAATGTCAGTAAAAGTTTCTATCACGAATAAAAGGTATTGGTTTTAATAGCAAATGTTCACACTTTCCATCTCCATATATCCCTTGAATTTAAGCCTCTATAAAGACTACTATAAGAATAATATGAACATTGAACATAAAAGTTAATTCAAACAATATTCAGACATTCTTTTTTAAAAATAATTAAATGTACTATCTGTACTATGCATACACACACTAATTCAACAGTAGTACAGGTTGAATTGGCCTACCGAAGTCAACGTCCCCTACTTTTAGGAGTTCTATATACTTATTCTCTGCCACTGTAAGAGGGTAAAAACCTAAAGCAATAATGGTACTGAACACAAAAAATGTCTTTTCACTGAAAACTAAAACACTTGTCCTTTGACTACTACCAGATGCAGTATTTAATTTCTGAACTCTGTAGGAAGTTTCATACCGAACAGAATGAATATAAAAAACCAACCATGCAAATATATTTTTGGATGCAAATTATTTCTTGTTAAAAATTTTCAGATTCCCAACATGCGTAAATTCTCACTAATTTTTAAAATCAGTTGTTAAAAATATTTAAAAGCCTGCTTCCATAAGTAGCTTCATTTGGTAAAGTTTATATGGGCTCACTTTTATTGGAAGTATTTGCTATTACAATATTTAACAATACTTAATGTGTTTAAAAATACGTATTAATTCACTGGCATACTGAGATACAACCCTTCACACACAACCTAAAACCACTGACAGCCAGCCAGAACCACTGAAGAAGCTAATTACATTATTCCAGTATTTATATAAACAGATATAACACTCTTCATTTTCACAGAACCAAAAGAAGGAAGACTGCATCACTGAACTTCAGTAGCAGGATTTTTGATTTCTTACTGTTAGTGGCAAGCAATTACATATGTTGGGTGGCTTGAATTAACACTGGCAAACTTGGGATGTCCTGACAACATGAACAACAACTACAGACACTAGAATTTTAAGTAATATACACTGTGTGCTCTTTAAAACTAGATGTAAAACATTCACTTTGTAATCAGCATACTTAATAATTTACTAAATAATTAAAATACCCCTAATGCAAGAATTCAAAGCATAATTTAAAGACGTTATCGAGCAATCACATGAAGTTTACCTGCTGCTTCATTATCTTTATCTGCTCCTTTTGCTTGCGCTTTTCTTCAGCTGCCATAATAGCTAACAAACAAAAGCAAACAAAAAATATCAGCAGAACATGACAAGAGATAGCTAACTTTTCATTACTACTTTTCAAAATAATCTGTCAGCATGCAGAAATTTCACAAGTAATTCCTACCTTGCTGTTTTTTCGCTTCTTTAGCAGCTCGAGCTTGTTCCTGCTTCTGGAGTTTTCTCAGTAGCTTTATTTGTGCTGCTTGCCTAGCTATTTCTGTTACAAAAAGAAAATATTAAGTTCATAAAAACAGTGCTGTCCAACAGTAAAGATATAGCTTATGTTCCAGACATTTGCAGGAGGTAAAGGTAGAGAAAAGAGTGGATTTGTTTTGCACACATTTATCTTGAGAACATTTTACTATGAATTAACTTCAGTGGCATCTCATGTATCAGTAACTACATCAACAGCGCAAATGAATGCGGATACTTTCAACATAAAAGAAAGCACTATTTTTGGAGGAAAAAATTACCTATTAAGTGATAGCATCAGGTCAATAATGCTGTTTCATTTAAAAACTGATTTCTTCTTTCTTTTTAAAGCAGAAAACATTTGTCTGAGTACTAAATCAACATTTTATTGAGAAAGCATGGAATTCCTGTTTTCCTTCTAGAGTGAGCTCGTGTAATTATCTGGTCCTTTTTTAACAATACAGTAAGAGCACATTCATCTGGGTCACGCTTCTCCTTACTGTGGCTACCTACAGCCAGTCACTCTTCTGCTAATTAGTAACTTCCTGAAGTATTCTACTACTTTAAGTGAGAATGTTTATGAAATTCAGATGAACTGTGCATGGACACACTGACACAGATTTTCTGGAGGTCAAATTCAGCTTGCTATTCAAAGGACTGAGGTCCGGGACCTTTTTCATAGCATTCTGCAGAATACTGTCAGCTTCTTGTGCAATGACCAAGACACAGGCAGACACATGGAAAATCCATGTGTAGATAAGATGATGCTGTAGATAGCAAGGGTAAATATGTACATGACAACAAGGAAACCTTCAGGGACAAGGGGAAACCATGCAGAAGAACAAGTTACACCTTAATCAAAACAGAACCAGTAGCTGGAAATTACAATTTACGTTACAGAGGAGAACTTCACTATGAACTATGGAAAGGCCAACAGATGTAGAGGACCACTTAGTCTGAATTGACACAATCCATGAGGAGGATGTAGTTAATGTTCAGCATGCATCTGAAAAGGACAGCTGGGAAACAAAACACCTATAATGCAAAAAACAGGGATGACAAATCAGACCAGCTGTATTTCCATTCAACTACAATGCGCTGTATCGAGCAAAATTTAAAGGCTGATAAATCGTGCCAAGAAATCAAAAAAGAAATTAGAGAAACGACAATTCTTGGTAGCAAATGACAGTCCAGATGTAATGGACATCCCACGGACACAGCAGAAGTATAATTAAGAACACATGGTGTTGCCAGGTACCAACATTATAGGAATATCAGAATGGGATGTACAGGCAGAAGACCAGCTTTCTTTGCAAAGTGCAGTATCAAGTCACATCACAGAAAAATAATGAATGAAGAGACATCTGTGTAGTCCATTTGGTGGAACTCTAAAGGAAGCTGTACAAAAGCAGTCTTCAAGCATGGAATTACTCACTTCAAGTGAGTAACCTAGAAGCAGTTCAAAAAAAAGTATGCTTGACCAGGTAAACACTGAGCTGCATTTTAAAAAAGAAAAAGGTAGTCCGTATCTGGCTCTTCAGAAAAGGAGGCCATCATAGGAAAATGGTGAGCATGTAAAAAATGAAAAGTTTGTTCAAACAAGAACAGGAAATCCTATGACACACCAAACTTAAGACTTAAAAAGGGTAAAAAATAATTTGAAGAGCACCTTGTAAAGGATGCCTGAGCAAACAGTAAAAGATCTTTACATACATCACAACAGGAAGCCAGAAATGCAATCAGTGGGACGTAACAGTAAACAAGACAGAAAAAAGAGCCTTAGAAAAAAAGGTTACTGAATTCCTTGTGCCAGTCTGCTGCTAAAGATGTCAGGTAGATTCCTCTACTCAGTGTGCTGTCTACAGCAGCAGGTCAGAAGACCTAGACGAGTTACAAGTACAAAAGAATATAAAAGAAAAGAATATAAAAGAATATAAAAGAAGTATTAGATCAAGAAAGTAAGTCAGATGTTAACAGATGACCAGGATGGGACAAAGCAAGCTGAGAAATCTGAAGAAAACACTTAACATGAAACCATAGAGACACTGGTCTGGTTGTTGACCATATTATTAACAACTGTTACTGTGTCACAGGACTGGCGACTCTCATCAACAAAAAAAAAGGGCTCCAGTACAAGTCTTGGAAACCACAGGTCAGTTAGTCTGATCTTCCTTTTCTCTTGAGGTTGTAGAGTCTTATGGTACATACTATGTCTTATATATACTTACTTGACCACGTTATAAAATACCATCACTTCAGACAGTTGGCATGGCTTCTACGAAGGGAAATTCTGCCTAATTTCAGGTTTCAATGAAAGCGTCAGTAACATGGGGCTAAAGAGAATCTAACAGACATAATGTATTTGGAATTTCAGAAAGTATTTGACTAGGTTCTAAGTCAAACATTACTAATACAACTAAGCTGTTTTGTCATTGAAGGAAAGCTTCACAGACTGAAAACTCTTTAAATTATAGCAGGTGAAGAAGGGCAGAGATCAGCAGTCACCATTTGTGATGAAGAAGAGTTAGTAGAGGGTTTCTCCACAAATCAATATTAGAACCAGCTTTATTTAGTATCTCTTTTCATCAATGAAACCTGTAAAGGGGACTGGCAAAGTTAAATCCCAAAATGTGAAGATGATATTAAGCATTCTGGAAAATCCAAGGCTGTGCTGATAGCAAGGAACTGTGGAAAAGCCCTGCAAAACAGTGGGCAAAGGTAGCAGAGGAGCTTCATCATAGATAGATGTAAGCTAATACACCTAGAAAAGAAATACTGAAATCAGAGGACACGTAAGGGGATCAAAGGGATGGAACAACTACCACCTTAGAAAATACTAAATATACTTGTGCTCTTCAGTTTGGAGAGAAGACGACAAAGGACAGAGAGGATCAAGGTCTGCAAAGTCATCATGGTGGTGGATAACATAAATTGGAGGACCATTATTCTCCAAACCCCACAACAACGGAACTAGGGAACACCTGCTACCAGCAACAGAAGATCATTTTTTTAAAAATTAAAATGGTCCAGTAGTTTGCAGACTTCTGGAACTTGTTGCCGCAGGAGGCTGGTAGGGCAAACATTGTCAGGAAGCTGAAAAACTCAAAAGAACAGGCTAATTCATGGGCAACCGTTCCATAAACAGAGAACAAATGGAGCAAGAAAAAAAATGTACTCTACAACATCACTCATAAAACACCTCAGGATGCCACAGTGCACGTATGAGGAAATAAACGGACCATGCTTTCACATGCTTTCTCTAAGCAGCATCTCCTATGGCCACTACTAGAGACAGAGCTCTGTGCCAGATCAACACCTGGGCTGAGCCACTGAGACGTTTTTTATGTCCTTGTGAGGGGAAAAAAGCAGCAAGGTAGATATGAACATATGTAACATCAAATATACATTCTGAATCTTCTTGTATATATAGACCATATATTTTTGTTCATTTTATTAAATGCTGCAGTCTGTGGTGAGAAAATAGACATGGCAGAGCGCTCCTAAATTCTCCCTCCCAATCCCTTACAATGACCAATATAGGGAAAGGGAAGATACAAAGTGAAAGGGAAGATACAAAGTGAAGCAAAATGGCTTAGTTACTAGGGCTTATCTTTTCCCATTGAGAAGACTTCTGGAATCAGTTACTGTGTCTCAACAACAAATACACAGACTCTCAGCAAATGCTAGGATGCCTCAGCAATTGACACTTACAGTTTCCTAATTCTCAGACCAAACAAAAGGTGGTGGTCACCTTAACACACAAGTAAAATAGCTGTGCAACACTACAAGACATACCAGGTACTAAGGTATTTCTAGAAATGCCTTCTCTCTGCCCAATTGTCCAAAGCATTACCGTTGCGTACCTTAAATATATCTATATAGAACAGCACTCTTTGCAGGCAACAAGGCAAAAAGATGAAAAGAATCGCACCAAGGCAGATATTACAGGCACATGGACTGTTAGCAAGGACATTGCAAAATACAAGGTAGTTAACCAAACATGTCCACAGTCAGCACATCAAAAAACAGTTAAATCTTACGCTAAAAGAAACATCCTGACTCCTGGGCTGTAAGTATTTTTCATACTGGATTAGATGCATTCACAGAATCCCAGACTGGTGGGGGTTGGAAGGGACCTCTGGAGATCCCCCAGTCCAACGCCCTGCCAAAGCAGGGTCACCTACACCAAGTTGTACGGGAACACGTCCAGGTGGGTTTTGAGTATCTCCAGAGAAGCAGACTCCACAGCCTCTCTGGGCAGCCTGTTCCAGTGCTCTGCCACCCTCAAAGTACAGAAGTTCTTCCTTATGAT